CGTTAAAGCGCTGTTGAAACAACGGCAGTTCAATCGCAAGAAAGACTACTTGGTCAAATGGCATGGTTTGCCCAAGCACGAAGCAACTTAGGAGCTTGAGCGCAGCATTAAGCATGTCTCCCATTTCAAGCGATTGCTTGAAGACCTGCGTACAAGAATCCAAGCTGCCAAGTCGACAACCGGGGGAGAATGTAATGATGGCAAGGTCGCCGACCAAGAATACGCTTGTCGCATCGTTAACAAAACGATGGCTAGACTGTCGAACAAGATTGTCGCACCATTAACGGGCAAGGCCGTTGAAGAAGCCGTAGAGAAAAGCACTTACTTCATGTAGTTTAGTATAGTATACATTTTCGTAGTTAGTAGTTTAAGACGATAATCACTTTCCAATCTACTCTGCGAAGCTCGCTACCGTTACAAACTACGCGTCGTGGGCGTGAGCCTCCGCCGTCATACAGGAGCTCATCGATACCGTCCCTATGCGCACATCGCTGCTCACGCTAATAGCGTCTTGGCCGCGGGCGTACATGATGAAACGTTTGGCGTACGTCTGTTGGTCGCGCTCCTTGAAGCCGTCCTTGCCATAGACAGGTGGCTTCGTGGCCGTTTACCCGCTGATGAGCGGCGCCGCCGTTGACTGTGGCAACGGGCTCGTAGGGGTTGGATGTCGCACTGGAGCCAACATCGGACGGCTGCCCATCATGTAGAACGTCGACCCTTCTTCGAAACTCCTTGGCGGGAGCTCCGAGCTAGTGCGATGCCACACCGAGTCAAAGTACGGAGGCAGGCTGCTACTACGAGCACCTGGAGGGGCCTCACCCACTCCCGAGGTTATCGACGACCCAGGCAACTGAGTGTTCTCGGTCGTTCCTTCGGTCGAGATGTTGACCCCGGCGTGGCGGGCGCGGGCTCCATGGTGCTTGCAAGCGTGAAGTCCTTTAGTCAAACGAGACTGATAAATTTATTGTTGTGTCTGCCGGCCCTGAACTGGCAGTGACTCCTTTAGAACTCGATGCACCGGGTTCAAAGGTAAACGAAGACTGACAATGTTAAAGGTCATACTTAGATCTACTGATTCACAACGCACATGTGCATCCCCTATCGAGCTCTCTTCGGTCGTGTTGACAGATCCTCGACCAATGGGTATGGAGTGCGCTTGCAAGGATACTACTACCTGTCTCTTGCTAAGATACTCCACACCCAACACTATGTACATTCAACGTACATAGTAGTACAACTTGTGTACTGACTGCTACGTACATAAAGCTTGCGATATCATTACCACTATTAATAGGAAGCCTCACATTCGCCATTGATATGTGACCTGTGCGATAATCCGCAACAATAGCCCGAGACTTCCGTCATGATCGTAAATGGCTAGTCAAAGTCCGGCAACTTCAACACTGGTGCCTGTTGTAACGCAGCCTTAATGGTCAAAAACGCCTGGCTGTGTTGATCCATCGATTCCCATGGAACATTGTCCTTCGCGAGCTTGCTGATCAAGTGTCCCTGTTGTGCAGTTTACTCTTAGTCGAGAAA